TAACTCTCCTCTCCTATTTTTAACTGACAAATCCATTTGTTCTCTAGGCTTTCTTAACTTGTTAATCTCACTCCAAAACTTTTTCTTATTTTCAACAAAATTTGTTGATAACATCTCACCCACTCTCTCATTTGCTCTCTTTTTACATTGCTTCACCACTCTCTTAACTTCTCTCTTTTTCTCCATATACTCTTCCCTCCTTGCATCACTTCTACTTTGTAAAAACTTCTCATATGCTAACTTTTTCTCCCTTACTACTCTCTTTACATCATCATTCCACCAATCGCTCCTCTTCCCTCCTGCACCCACTTTCCTGTAACCACAAACTTCTGCTGAACACTCTAACACTACATTTTTAAACCTACCCCATACCTCTTCGACCCCATTGCCTATGCTCTCATTAGCCCATCTATCCTCCAATAGCTGTTTATATCTTACCCTAACTGCCTCCTCTTTTAGTTTATAAACCTTCACCTCTCTCTTCCCTGATGCTTCTATTCTCCTTGTATCCCATCTACCTTTTACTCTCAGTGTAGCTACAACTAGAAAGTGATCTGATATATCTGTGGCCCCTCTATAAACATGTACATCCTGAAGTCTACTCAACAGTCTTTTATCTACCAATACATAATCCAACAAACTACTGTCATTTCGCCCTACATCATATCGTGTATACTTATTTATCCTCTTTTTCTTAAAATATGTATTACCTATAACTAAACCCCTTTCTATACAAAGTTCAATCAAAGGGCTCCCATTATCATTTACACCTGGCACCCCAAACTTACCTACCACACCCTCTCTAAAAGTTTCTCCTACTTTAGCATTCAAGTCCCCTACCACAATTACTCTCTCACTTGGTTCAAAGGCTCCTATACATTCACTTAACATCTCCCAAAATCTCTCTCTCTCCTCTGCATTCCTCTCTTCTCCAGGTGCATACACGCTTATTATGACCCACTTCTCGCATCCAACCTTTACTTTAATCCACATAATTCTTGAATTTACACATTCATATTCTCTTTTCTCCTTCCATAACTGATCATTTAACATTACTGCTACCCCTTCCTTTGCTCTAACTCTCTCAGATACTCCAGATTTAATCCCATTTATTTCCCCCCACTGAAACTCTCCTACCCCCTTCAGCTTTGTTTCGCTTAGGGCCAGGACATCCAACTTTTTTCATTCATAACATCAGCAATCATCTGTTTCTTGTCATCCGCACTACATCCACGCACATTTAAGCAACCCAGTTTTATAAAGTTTTTCTTCTTCTCTTTTTTAGTAATTGTATACAGGAGAAGGGGTTACTAGCCCATTGCTCCCGGCATTTTAGTCGCCTCATACGACACGCATGGCTTACGGAGGAAAGATTCTTTTCCACTTCCCCATGGACAATAGAAGAAATAAAAAAGAACAAGAGCTATTTAGAAAAAGGAGAAAAACCTAGATGTATGTATATATATATATGCATGTGCGTGTCTGTGAAGTGTGACCAAAGTGTAAGTAGGAGTAGCAAGATATCCCTGTTATCTTAGCGTGTTTATGAGACAGAAAAAGAAACCAGCAATCCTACCATCATGCAAAACAGTTACAGGTTTTTGTTTCACAGTCATCTGGCAGGACGGTAGTACTTCCCTGGGTGGTTGCTGTCTACCAACCTACTACAACCTACTCACAAAATAACTGTCCACAATCGTCTGTTTGTCTCACAAAATAACTCCACAGTCGTCTGTTTCTGTCACAAAATAACTGTCCACAGTCGTCTGTTTCTGTCTCACAGAATAACTGTCTACAATCGTCTGTCTCACAAAATAACTCCACAGTCGTCTGTTTTTGTCTCACAAAATAACTGTCCACAGTCCTCTGTACATCCTGGCAAGCTCAACAAGTCTCACACCACTCTCATATTTCTGTATTATTTCCTTCTTCACATGTATGGTGTTTCTCACTTTCTTTACCACAGGGGTATCACTAGCAAGTTTCTTTGGGCCCATGGCAGCTTATTTCACAGCCCCACAAGCACTAAACACAATTAAATAATCGTAAAATGTGTGAAAGAGATCGCAGGTTAGTGTTCACTCAAGCATAAACAAAGCTAGACTGCTCACGGCGCCTGCGCGGGGACACGGACAGAGCGGGCCAGCGGACAGGTCCCGTACCTGGCAGTCCGAAAATAGGGGCGCGTTCGATAATAGGGACACAGTTTGTCCCAAAAAATGGTCTTATTTTCGAAACGTTCGATATGTGATACGTTCGATTTTTGAGGTTCCACTGTATATGGTGTATTAGTAAATACAGAAGCTGTGAATATTGAAGGAGTACTATTGTACATAGAATCTGTGTACTGTACTGTTACTGAGCAAGGTTTTACTTACATTGCATTATTAAAAATAATTTACACACGGGAAAACAGATGTAATCTTAAAATATATAAAAGCTTTGATTAGCTTTTATATGTATAAATATATACATATAAACTCTATAGAAGTTGTAATAAATGACTGTCAGTAAATAAACAGAAGAATGGACGAGGGTTTGAGTTATGGTCGTGGTGGTCATAGGTCCAGCACTTGACTTCTGTGTCTGAAATCATAAGATTTTTGTTGCAATTTTTAACCCAGAGGGTTAGCCACCCAGGATAACACAAGAGAAGCAGTGTGTCATTGAGGACTGTCTTATCTCCACTGGGGTGCTTCATTCTTGTTGCCCAGGATGTGACCCACACCAGTTGACTGACACCCAGGTTCCTACTTGCTTGCTAGGTGAACGAGAACAACAGGCATAAGGAAACGCCCAACGTTTCCACCCAGCCGGGGATTGAACCATGGACACTGAGTGTGTGAGTGGCCACAGTTTGATCCATTGTCCATTTTTCTGCTTATTCATTGACAGTCATTTATGACTTACATTGAGTTTATAGACTATATAGCTTTGAGGAGATGAGAATAGATTTAGCTGCAAAAATCTCTTGGGCTGTGGGAAGAGAGAGTAGGATCACTGGTGGTGCTGCGGCTGATGGAAAACATCAACACAAGTTGTGTTTCTGAAATCTTCCTACTAAAGCTTGTAGTTTAATGTTAAAAGCATTGCACCTGCTATCCCTCATCCATACTTCTCATTATTCATATACTGTGTGTGTGTGCGCACGCGCACGTGTGCGTGCATGTGCATGCGTGCGTGCATGTACGTACGTACATACCCATTTGTGGTTGCAGGGGTCGAGACATAGCTCCTGGCCCTGCCTCTTCACTGATCGCTACTAGGTCCTCTCCTTGCTCCATGGGTGTGTGTTTGTGTGTGTGTGTGTACACACATATATACAACTGGTGCATCAAAGTGCAACGAACACTGATTGTTGAGATATGAAAATGCACATGAAACAGAAATGAGGACGAATGATTGTATATTTTGACCTCCAACTGAGGTCCTCTTCAGCAGACACAAAGGAATGAGGAGAGAGACCAGGTATTTATAGGTGTAAGAAGAGTGGGCAGTTCCTCGTTCCTTGCCCAAAATATATTGCATGTTAGTGGCTTTCTTTTGTGCTTAACAGTATTTTCTTATATGTAAACTACAGTGGAACCTCAAAAATCGAACTGCTCCCAACTCAACCAATTATGTAAGTGTATTTTTGTAAGTGCTTTTATAAGTGTATTTTTGAGGGTCTGAAATGGACTAATCTAATTTACATTATTCCTGATAGGAATAAATTCATTCGGTAACGGCACTCGGACAGCCTTCTGGACTGAAGAAAGTTCGATATTTGAGGTTCCACTGTACTCATGAATACAGCACAAAGAAATAAAATTTGTTTGAGTAGAGAATCATAATAGGGCAAAGGCTGCCCCCATATTTTTATTGGCATGAAGATGTTCGGATTATGAGAGTGGGTAATTGTTGTCATAAGATGCTGTCTTCATAAGAACAAATGGGGTGGTACTGTAATATACCTGCTGTCCAGCCTGGTTGACCAGGCTATCACCAGATGAGCCTGCCCTACGGCTGGGCTCCCGGAGTGGAAAAACTCTGGAACTCATCAAGGGTATATCAGAGACAAAGGTATTATCAAGAGGTAACTTGACAAGTTCCTATAATTGGTACCTGAACTCCTGAGCTGTGGTTTGTGTGTTGGACTGCATGCTGCCAGCAGTAACAGCCTGGTTAATGAGGGCTTGATCCACCAGGAGGCCTGCTTTGTGACCAGGACATGGAGGGGAGTTGACTTCCCCTCAGTTATTTGAGTCTCAGGATTCTTAGGTTAGGTTGGGTTGGGTTGGGCTAGGTAAGGTAAGGTAGGGTAAGGTGTAAGGTTTGTTAGGAAACAGGACAAGTGTTTCCCGATGCTGGTCATAGTCATATGATGACCCACAGCTGGAGCTTTTGGTCATCTGACTGAGGCCTTCCACTGGCTTAACACTCCACCACTTTAAAAATTGTGGTTATAATTACAACCATGACACAAGTCTTCAGGGTCCTGGATGGTGTCTCCTATGCTTACTAAATCACAGGACCTTCTTAACAGCACATCTTTAGGCCTAACATGAGAAGCCATTTTAACACTATGTTGATAATAATAATAAAGAAGCAGCCTACTATGATATATTAAGCACCTTGAGGTTGAGTGAAGCTCTGTCCCCAACAACATTGTTCTTGACCAACTGCTCATTATTCCTATCCCTACAAATATCTGGTGTGTTTACCCCTTTCCTTTGTGTCTGCTGAAGAGGGATTTTCTCTTACACAAACAATATGAATATAGCTACAGTATATATAATATCTCCTATTTTTCCCTTCCTAAAAATGCCTTAATTTTTAAATGAATTTATAGTACTATGTTAGTAAATAACCAAAAAATTCAGTTCTTGAAGTCTATAATTTTTCATTTGTTCTGTAATGAATTGTTTTGTAGTTTGTTTTAAGGTGATGAAATAATGTTCAGATAAAGGAAGTGGTTGAAATTGAGTGTTATGTATACTGAAACATCCCTTTGCTTTCAGTTAATGCAAAGACGTTGATACGTAATTGGCAAATATGGCCAGCTGTGGACGCAGCCGGTCTTCGACTCCTGGTGCCGACCAACCCGAGGCTAACAGTGAATCAGACCAGATGGATATGGAAGATGGCAAGGAAGAAAGGTCGGCCAGGGAGCTTCCACTGATGCTTGGCCCAGTCGAGCGTGGTATTATGATTCTGAGGAGAGCAAGCTCTGATACTGAGAGATTTGCAGCACTGTTAATGGTAACAAAGCTCATCAAGGCTGAAGAATTAGATGATGTAAATAAGAAAAAACTCATGGAGGCAGTGGGCTTGTCATTTCTTGCTCGACTGTTGCGGACCAATGAAGTTCCAGAGGGTTGCCCACCATTTATGTTTAAGTCCATTGCACTCACTATTTTGTCTTGTTTTATTTCCTCTTGCTTAGGAAATCCCACTTTGTATGGACTCATTCCTGTACTGAGCGAGATCATTGCCAAGCCAGAAATGCACGATGACGATCTGACTTTAATTAAAGATTCTTATCAATGTTTAAAGAGCATAGCTTCTGAAAAAGTTGGAAGGAAAGCGATAATTGATTTTGAAGCGGTAGGATCACTTGTAGATGCTTACATAACTGAGAGTTACTGCTATGAAGATGCACTGGAGATTCTGTTAATGGTTTTCAGCGAGGAAGGTTCACGAACTTGGGAAGATGAGCCAGAAGCATTTACAAAACTCATGAACCACATTGCTCGTGAATTTGCCCTAGATCACGGGGAACACAAGTTCACCCTATGTGACTTTCTTACTGAAATGTTACTAAGCCTTCCATTACCTTCTGTTGAAATTGGTCAAGCAGAGTGGAAGTCAAATTTACATAAAGGTCTTTGTGATATCATATTCAGTAAATTAGGCCGTGAGCATCGGGATAGTGGCTTAAGGTTAGCAGGGACAGCAATGGAATGTCTTGGGGTGAGCTGGGTGTTACACATGGAGACTGGAACAGGGGAAACAAAGGGTAGACAGTTGCTCTTAATGCTGGTTCATCTCGCATGCATTGAAGTTCGTATGAGCTTGGAAGATAAGACATTTGAAGAAGCTGTTGCTTTGGCATCCCCAACAACTTCTTGCTACACGATCTTAGAGCTTGCTATAGTCTTTCTTGTCAACGGTGCTGTTAATTTTGAGCAAAAACAGAAGCAGCAGTTATATGCAGCCCTGAAAGGAGCCTTTAAAGCAGTTCTTATATTCCTTAATGGAACTTCAGTTGACGATTCACTTCTGGAGAATTCTAAGAACCATTTGTTTGTATGTGCAACTATTCGGGTGTTGGGTGCATGGTTGGCAGAGGAGACAGCAGCCAACAAAGAAGAAGTCTACAAGACTATACCTTTTATTATCAAAATCTGCAAGTATAACTTTGAGCACAACAAAAGAAAAACAGTAACAAAGTCACGGAAAAAGGGCCAGTCTAAGGTTAATTATAAAGACGACAGTAAAGTTAGACTTCCAGATGTTCTTAGGTTCTTACTTCCTGGCTTATGTCATCTAACTGCAGAAGATGTTCCCAGACATATTCTCATAGAGTTGGAAATAGAAAATTTGTTATTTGAGTACTTCAACTATCACTGGAGTAGCATAAAAGGTGTGTTTGGTCCCCAGAGTAAAGAAGATGAATTGGAAGTTCCTTCCGATCGAATTTATTCTGCTTGTGAAGCTATGGATACTATTAGCAATATATTCATGAACATAGTTGTGCAAGAACCAGAGAGAGTTAAAACTGACCACTTTTACTACACCCTTCTGAAGTTAATCTTTACAAAAGTGCCAGAAATACCTTTTGAGGATCGCTATCTCAGATTGTGTGGAAATTCATCCACGTTGGGACTCATGATATTGCGTCATCAACACATTAACGTTAAAAGTACAGACTTTACAATATTTAGATTTGTGCAGACCATAGTACGCTTTCTTTGGGATGCACACAATATTGAGGAAAGTCGGGACTATGCAACGTTAGTTGTATCCTCAAGGTACGAGTTACACTGGTGTAACCTTATTGACCTTTGGTTTTTAGGTATGCATACCCTTAGCCTTCTCCTCCCAACAATTCCATGGCTGTGTGATTTTTTGATCGAGAGTGAGTGGCCACAGACAATTATCACAACTTTATTGTCTGTTCGTGAAGGAGGATTGGATGTTGGCCTTAAAGGTGCCTTTGAAGATTTCCTTTGCCTACTTTCAAAATCATCTAAGCCTGCTTTTAACATCTTAAAAGAGAAGGGAGTAGAACAAGTTTGTCGTAATCACAAACTTGAAGAGTTATCAAAATTGTTTAATGTTAAAGTATCATAACTCTAGAGTTAAACTTAGGTTGAAATGGTAATAGAAATCTGGTTTATATAAGAATGTGGTTCAGTTACATGAGTCTTGAGGAGAGTTATATTCACATATTTGTGGTTGCAGGGGTCGAGTCATAGCTCCTGGCCCCAGCGGTTGAAACTCCATATTATTTAATGCCTTATTGTGATGGATTTAGTAATTTTATTTTGGTTTAGAGAAAGTTAGTTATGAGTAAATAATTACACAGGAGACTGTGAACTTATAAATGTGACGTTTATGCATTTTCACTTACAAATAGGCCTATTGGAATCGATTAAAATTTTATAGCAGGCGAGTTTCAGTACAAATGTGTGACTATAACATCATTTGTACAATTTATAGATAAACAATTTGTAATTGAAAAACTAGAACTGTAACTTATTTGTGAAGATGTCTTGTACTATATATATAAGGCATTGGACAGTGGTAAAGAAAAAACTCAAATTTTAACAATGGAGAAAAATTGCATGATTGGGGGAAACTGGAATTATACAGCTTAAGTTACCATACTTTATTATGGGACTCTAATCCTAACTTACAGAAGACACTACGTATCTATATATCCCCACAGTGAAAGTATTAAAGAAGTGTTTTTTTCACTGGCCTGGATTTTGGCCATGGTAATGCTTATTCTTTTCCGCTGTTTAATGCCTCTTATATACGGTAGTACATTTTCAGTTTGCAAGCTAAATGGTCTTAAAAAAACACAGAATGGGTGGGGTTTGAACCCATGGCAAGCGAGTCTTGAAACTCCAGGCCAGTGCATTCAAACCATGAGTTCAAATCCCACCTGTTCCATGGTTTGCAATCATTGTTATACAAGTGCCGTGATACTGACTTCATAATCAAGCAGTTAGTGAAGTTAATTTTCAAGTTTATAATTTTTTTTTATTGTTTCTCCATATAGATTTTGATTTAGCACTTTGAAGATGTTTAGAGAAGTGTGATTAAAAACAAACAAAATATCTAATGATTATACAAGAGTACAGATTCATACTGAGCTTCATAATTTTCTCAGTGGTTTGGCCAATTATTTTTAGGGAACTGATAGTGGCATGATGACCATCACTCACAACTTAATAATGGTCAAAAATATTCCAAATTCCCTTTCCAAAATTTTGGTCAACTGTGAAATTTTCCATCCATGGCATTGTACCTTTTATTCATGATAACCTTGTTATATAAAAAATCACTTTAGTGTAGTCATTACTGTATTTTCTGGCATATGAGGCGCTCATTTCTTCCCTCGCAAAAAGTCTAGGAAAATCAGCCTGCACCTTATAAGCTGAACATCATGGGCCTAGAGTAGGCCTTGTGTTATGCTTTGACATAAAGTAAGAGGGCAATTTACTCTTGAATATGATTGCAGTAAGTCTTTGACTTATCAACACATTGAGAATCTGTATTGTGTATAATATCATACAATACTCCTCTGAAGGAGGGGTGTTAATGTTGCAGTTTTAATAACTGTAGTGTAAGTGCACCTCTGGCAAGACAGTGATGAAGTGAATGATAATGAAAGTTTTTCTTTTTTCGGGCCACCCTGCCTTGGTGGGAGACGGCCGATGTGTTAATTAAAATATGTATATAATTATTATTATACACAGTACAGAAGGTCCCCAATGTGTTCGTAAGTTGAGGACTTCCTGTATTATGAATAATGTACACAATTCAAAAGGTCGCCAGTGTGTTTGTAAGTCAAGGACTTACTGTATTGATTTACCGTTCATACTTCTGTTGTGTGCCTCATATGCCAGATAATACAGTATGTTTTCAAACACAAGATACTGTAATTGTTTATTTTTTTTTTGGGGGGGGGGTTTCCTTAAAGCTATAGGAATAAAATTCATGAAAATATTTTTTTTAATGGTAATTTTGAAAGTCATTATGTTTCTGTCTCTCTTTTCTGATGTTCAACATTGAAAACTTAAGTATCCATGGAAGTACTCCAGTGATAATGATCCTCAATACGTAGGTGGTTTCAAGTGAGGAAAATGAATGTGTATATATTATGTAAGATTTTTGAAACGGGAAAAATTAGATGTTATAGTGATGAATGGTAGTGTGTGTGGCCTTTATTTGGGTTTCTCTGACTTGGCACTTGGTCAGATTTTTTTTTCTTTTTGACATTTGGTGAATGACTCGAGTTCTTTTAAGTATGCATTATTTGTCAATAAATTCTCGATAGTTATACAACAGAAATAATTGTATGTGTTATGCAACAAATGCTCTACATTTTTATTTTTCCGTTTAAAGCTTTAGTTGTATTATTACTGTATAAACTTTATCAGTTGATGTAGATAGTCTGTTATTAATTTGCTAGTTATCTATGCCCTCTTTTTTTTTATATTCTTCTGAAACTGGTCACATTTATTGTATATCAGGTGTAACACCAGTTATGTTACTGTAATACTGTGCATGAGATTAGTACATTTTATTTGTATTGTACATGTTTACAACTAACCCACAAACTTATTATAAATTTGGATGGTATTTTGGTTTGTGTTGGAATATTATCTGGTTATGACCTGATAATGGTTCAGGTTGGACTGAAATTTTACCTAAATTTTCTAACATGGCACAGATATGTGGAACACTTGGGTATCTTTATTGCCGGAACATTTCTCCTGCACGACAAGCTTCTTCAGTCGACTACAGGCGACTGCAACACTGGAGACAAGAGTAGTTTTGAAGTGATCAGTCTGTCAGCCTTGGAAGATGGTCAGTCCCTCAAGTATTCAACTGAAGAAAGCTGTTGTCCAGTCAAAAGATTTCATCAATAAAGATAACCAAGTATTGCACATGTGTCTTATTTTAAACGAATAATATGATGGTAGAAAGACTGTGTGCAGTGTAAAGTCATCTTTAATAAAGATTTTCTCTGCACAAAGCGACTCTCAGCTATATTTGTTTGTAATGTCAGTAATCCTACCTTCATCTCTGAATTGTGAGTTATTTGTGAATTGTGTAAGCCATATTTATGTGATTTTTATTCTACACTAATATTGTTTGCATTTGGAGGAATTGTTTATAGTATAATTTGAGTTCTAATTTGCTCCTTGCATTGGCATGTTAATAAGACATGATATGCGGTTTATGGCATTCTATTAAGAAAACTTTTCATTCTTCGGGACTTTATCAATCGGAGACTTATCAGTCAAAGAATTGATAAAGTCCCTGGTGGCTTGGTTGGCAACACACTTGCCTCTATACACTGAGTGTCTGTAGTTCAATCCCCAGCACAGGTGGAACATGTTTCTCACTGTTCATCTAGTAGTAAGTAGGTACCTGGGTGTTAGTGGACTGGTTTGAGTGGCATCCTGTGGGACAAGATTGAAAGACCACAATGGAAATAAGACAGTCAGTCCTCGAAGACACACTAACTTTCTTGGGTTATCCTGGGTGGCTAATCCTCCCAACCCCAGGTTATCCTGAGTGGCTTACCCTCTAACCCTCTGGGTTAAAAATCCCAACTAATGTTATCTTAATGAATCATTTTCAGTAATAGAGCATAGACCACGTAGTTTCTTATTAACATATTTGTTGGTATATAATAACCAGTGATGTATATTACAGTGATATATATTAAATATTACATTGTCATGGTCTTTGTATAGGTTTGCTTAATATGGCTGTGGTTATATAACTTGTGTATATTATAAAAAAATGATTTTCAAGAAATTTTGACTCTTGCTCAGCAGTGAGATGTTTTGTTTATACGAAATATGAACTGCAGATAATACGTATATGTGTGAACCTGTGATGCTTTAATTTGTAAATATGTACCTAATATGATAGTAGGTGTGGAGCAGTCATGGTAGGTGGGCAGAGGCCTCCCTCCCAGGTGCTTTTTTTCGATTAGTGACTAACTTTTGCTATATTGACTAGTGACCACAGAAATATGATAGTTTTAGAAATTTTATATACATACTGAAAATCAAATATTTTTCAAGATGCTAAAAAATCAAAGAAATGGTGAGTTTTAAGTTCCAACTTCTCCCCAGGTGGAGGCACTGGCTTAAGTTCCAACTTCTCCCCAGGTGGAAGTACTGGCTTAAGTTCCAACTTCTCCCCAGGTGGAAGTATTGGCTTAAGTTCCAACTTCTCCCCAGGTGGAAGTACTGGCTTAAGTTCCAACTTCTCCCCAGGTGGAAGTACTGGCTTAAGTTCCAACTTCTCCCCAGGTGGAAGTACTGGCTTAAGTTCCAACTTCTCCCCAGGTGGAAGTACTGGCTTAAATTCCAACTTCTCCCCAGGTGGAGGCACTGGCTTAAGTTCCAACTTCTCCTCAGGTGGAAGTACTGGCTTAAGTTCCAACTTCTCCCCAGGTGGAGGCACTGGCTTAAATTCCAACTTCTCCCCAGGTGGAGGCACTGGCTTAAGTTCCAACTTCTTCCCAGGTGGAAGTACTGGCTTAAGTTCCCCTGATTCATAGACTGGTTGTGGTACGGAGTAATCGTGACACTTTTGCCGTGATGTTGAAAATAGTCGGACAGTGGTACAGGCTACAGGCTGACCAGTGGTAATTCAAAGATGTTTTTAGCAGGGAGAACCTGCTTATAAAGTTGTTTATAAGCAGGTTCTTCCTGCTTAAAATTTTCTTTGAGCCAGGAGAACCTGCCTGTAAAGTTGCTTTAACTAGGGAGAACCTACTTACACTTGCTTTAAGCACTCTTAGCAATGGCACTGTATAAGACACACACCACTAGATTCAGAATATCAGTTTGCTGGATAATTGTGTCTAGGGAGAACAGAATATTCTCTGCTGGTATATATGTATGAAATTGGAATAATTATTAAATCAATATTGATATTAACACATTAATGAAAATATGTTTGAGCATTGTGGAAGGCTCCATCAGGTTTGGTGCCCATGAATTGCTTGTAACCTTACAACCTCCTTCAAGGTTGGTGCATTGATGCTAATAAAGGACTCTTGTTCCAAAAAATAGGAGCTGGCTTTTCCTATCTTGAATCATGCCCTTTCACCTCCCATTCGCTATGCACTGTATACCTGGAGAGGGTTTTGAGGGGTCAACGCCCTTGCAGCCCAGTCTGTGACCAGGCCTCATGGTGGATAAGGGCCTGATCAATCAGGCTGTTACTGTTGGCCGCATGCAACCCGACATACGAACCACACCCCGGCTGGTCAGGTACTGACTTAGGTGCCTGTCCAGCGCCTTCTTGAATTCAGCCAAGGGTCTATTGGTAATCCCCCTTATGTATGCCATTTGTGTTTAGCACTTCCCCCATGAATGTAATTGTTCTGTACAGTGCAAATGAACTTCCAAATTCAGATTTGGGCCCTTCGATTATCCAACTTTTTTAACAAGGGTCTTTATTAAAGACCAAAATGGCACAATACCATGACAGGAACAACACACAGATAACCCTCACATTCTCCTATGTTCAGGTTATTTGTGTATAGATTTGACCCTTTCAGGTTTAGTGCCCAGTTATGATTATAATAATGTGCATAGATTTGATTAGTCGGGGTATTCCCTGTATCCATTATGTTTTGACTTGGTATGCAATCTTAGGATTGACAATCAGACATAAGGTTTTATTCAAAATGTGTTTTATGGATTATTCTTCCCAGCCCCAAATTTTTTTGTTTGTGGACATTTCTATGAGTGTCATTATTAATGTCAAAAAAATATTTAAAGAAATGGCCGGTGAGAAACACTGTGAATCCAATTCTGAAATCAAATTTATTATAGAAGATTTATTGGTACAGTAATCTTTCTTAAAGCTCCTCTATATTGTGTGATTTTTTTGTAAATGTAATTGAAAAAAGTTCACTGAAAAATTGTATGTGTGGAAGGGCCTTCATAGCATATGCTTTTCAATTTTGGAGGAATTTTTTTAATTGCATTTACAAAAAAAATTCTATAAAGGTCAGCCATTACTAATCCGGCATCATTGGGACCTGTAGTGTGCCGGATTAGTGAGTTTGCCAGATTACAGAATGGTTAGGTTAGAATACACTTAATTAACCTATCAATAGACTCTTTCTGCTATATTCCTCATTTTCACCACTGCTTTTCTCCTCCACTGGCTTGCTGCTGTGGGTTTACAACCATCTGCACAATTTTTAAGACAGTATAATGATGAAATTTGAAATTATGCTAGCCAAAATTAGTGCTGGATTACTGATGGAACCGGATAACTGATTGCCGAATTAGTGATGGCCGACCTGCATATGTAGAGGAGCTTTGTGACAATGTACTGAATCTACAGTATTGATATCTGGGAGCTTGACTGCACTTTGAAGTGGAGTACAGTGGTAGGTAGGCTGTACACAGATGTAATTACATAAAACAATTCATGTTGAAATCAAAGGCTTATGCAAGCTGGGATGAGTGTCATGAGTGCTGATTAAAGGTGAAAAATTCACTTATTTGACAACTGAAACGGGTCTGTGTTTTTTGGCCCGTGAATAAAGCATGTCGAGATTCATAAATATTTTTACACTTGCATTTCATTTTTCGGTCCAAGTGGTTTTTCACTTTTTATGCACGCTTACAAAAAAAAAAAGAAAGTGGGCTCTGTATAAAAACATTCATGTGATGCTTTTGTTTAAATGGAATTATTGTCAGTTTTCTTGTCAGAATTAGTTGTTTATACAAGGCTAATTTTTGTCGAGGTCTTTTTTTTTTTGTGCTAGTTTTGTACACTTGTTAACAGTGTAATATATGTAGTATAGTGTTGCACGGTGATGGAACCATTTATAGTCATGGTCCCTTGCTATGCTGACGTCACGGGGTCCCCCTGCCAGCCGAGGAGCCCGTGACATCACTACCCAAAATGCTCAGGCATGCTAATGGTTTTCTTTATGCTTAACAATATTTTATAACGTGTAAATCTGACATTGTATACTTTGTCAAGAAATAAAATTTGTATTTGCATAGCAAGGGACCATGACTATAAATGGTACCATGACCTGTGTAACACTACACAAGTGTTACACTGTTAACACATTACAGTGGACCCCCGGTTTATGATATTATTTCATTCCAGAAATATGTTCAGGTGCCAGTACTGACCGAATTTGTTCCCATAAGGAATATTGTGAATTAGATTAGTCCATTTCAGACCCCCAAACACATACATACAAACACACTTACATAATTGGTCGCATTGGGAGCTGATAGTAAACCGGGGGTCCACTGTACTTGTACATTGTTTTGTAAATACAGCAGGTTTTTCATCAGAGTATTATTACCTTTCATTGTCATAAAATGTAAAACTTATTGACGTAGCGCTGTATAACCCTTGTGGGTGTAGCGCTTAGTTATGATTATAATAAAAATAATATTGACATTTGTTCAATATACAGTAGTAAAAGTTTAAGGAAAAAATATGTAAGGGAAAAGTTGTACAGGCACAAGTTGAACAAAATGTAACGTAGCTCCATCGTGAGAATCATTGATGTATGACCCATACAGATTTAGTGCATTTTTGTGAATAAAGTACTGAATAAATAATTTGTGAAAGTGATGCTACTTGCTTTTAAAACTTCTACCTCTCTTATGTCAGTTGCCTCATCCTCACTGTAGAGCAGTAAACTGCCCACATGGGTTTAGTGCTCTCTGTCTACTTTAAATGTCTCTTTGGGTGCAGTTAGTGTGAAAATTAGCAACCAGTCCTTTTTCTACTCTGGCAGTCGACCCTGGTAGGTTTAGCACTTAGTTCTGATTATAATGTAATACAGCTTTGATGCCATTGAGGGGGAGGGCTCTTGATCCAAGAAACTGGACTTAGCCTATTCTGTTGGACTGCCCACTTTATCAACGAGCACGCAGAATTTACCTCCGTCGTCGTCTTCGCTCTGCTGCTCTCTCTCTACCTTCCCTTCTCGCTGATGGACCCACCTTTCATCCAGACTCTCTCATTGACTTTTTGACAACGACTGACTGACTTCACAAATTCTGATACCTTCAGCCCTTTCTACTTCAATCTCTTGCTACCCTCTACCCCCGTACTATCCCCTGCCCAGCTGTTTTCTGTAACCTACTGATCATCCCCCCCCCCCCTTCTGCCGCCCAATACCCTCGCTTCCTTCCCTACCCTGCAGCGCTATATAGCCCTTGTGGTTTAGCGCTTATTTTTGATTATAATAATAATGGACTTAGCCTTCCATGCTCTTCATAACTATGACCCCAGGTGGTTCAGTGCTTAGTTTTGATTATAATTATAATAATTTGCATAAATATATGGTTTCTGCATGCATATCCAAATGTATAGATAAATAGTTCAGAGAACAGACAAGTTGATATATTAGACACAAGTGCAAGGAGGGGTGTTAATGTTGCAGTTTTATAACTGTAGTGTAAGTGTGCCTCTGGCAAGACAGTGATGGAGTGAATAATGGTGAAAGCTTTTCTTTACTGAGGCAATGTTTTGTACACACCGACTTCATCAGTCCTATACATAGAAGAATAAGACTGATGAAACCACTGTGTGGTGAAACGTTTTCTCAGTAAAGATATCCAAGTGTTGTACATGTCTAATTTACCAATTAAATGTCACCCTTCTTTGTACAAGCACTAGCCCTTGTGGTTTAGTGCTTCTTTTTGATTATAATAATAATCTGTACAAACTATCATGTGGGAATAAATCTTTGACTTTATCCTTGGATTGGACCTGAAATGCTACCCATTTCCCAGGTACTACATGACCCTTATGTGTTTAGTGCTTCACCCTGATTAAAATATATATAAAAATCAAACCTGCTATTAGAAGCTAATTTAATATCTTTATTAAGCACCTTATACCCATCCTGTGGGTGGTAGTCAAAAGATTACAGAGGTACATAAAGGGTCCAGGGACTGTACCTCAACATTACAGAGGTACATAATGGGTCCAGGGACTGGGCCACAGAGTTTTGATATATGAATAGGTTACATATTAGAAGTCATTCAATTTATGTAAATATTACTATTTTTTTTTGTTAATATAGTAATAGTGATATACGTACGTATAGTAAATTAGAAACGAGGGCAAACACCGCTGCTTACAGCACTGTGTTGGTGATCAATACCCCAGGGAGACATATTACTTCTTATTCAGGAGGGCCCCATTTGTGTGGCTCTCGGTTTCCTGACCCTGTGTGGCAACGAAAATGCAAATGGGTGGAAAAGAGTGTTTTTTTTTTCATTATCGAATGCATCAAAAATGCCTGATAGCATGTTTACATGTTGCAGTTTTTAACTGTAGTGTAGGCACACCTCTGGAAAAACAGTGATGGAGTGAGTGATGATGAAAGTATTTCTTCTGTTTCGGGTCACCCTGCCTTGGTGGGAAATGGCTGATGTGTTAATAAAAAAAAAGTTTATCCTACCCTTCCTCAGATCTTACCTGATAGCTCATGGCTCGGGTGTGGTTGCCTCAGCTTGCACAGTTACCTTACACCTGCTGTCATTGTTCACCTAGCGGTAAGTAGGTACCTGGGTGCTAGTCACTTTACACCTGCTGTCATTGTTCACCTAGCGGTAAGTAGGTACCTGGGTGCTAGTCACTTTACACCTGCTGTCATTGTTCACCTAGTGGTAAGTAGGTACCTGGGTGTTAGTCACCTTACACCTGCTGTCACTGTTCACCTAGCAGTAAGTAGGTACCTAGGTGTTAGTTAACATGTGGGTTGCATCCTGGGGAAGATTAAGGGACCCCAATAGAAATAAGACAGTATCCTCAATAACAAACCGAGTTTGTTGGGTCATCCAGGGGTAAATAATAGAACAAAATCTATTTGATTTCCCAGCTGCTGTATCTATTGCTTACCTGAATTCCCCCCCCCCCTTCCCAAAAATGGTAATAAATTAAACAAAAATCAAGTAATTTCCTGCTGGAAACTAAGATATTTAACCTTAATTAATGTTGATTTAATGGGAGTTTGTTTTTAAAATTATGAGCATCACTGTATGACCCTTATGGGTTTAGCACTTAGGTATGATAATAATTAAAATTATGAGACTGAGTTATTGAAATCCAGGGACACTTACCTTAACTGCTTTAATGTGATCAGTCGACTATGTAGCCTATGGATCTTCTCTTCTAGGGAGGAGCCTTGATGCTGGCAAAGGCTCTTGATTAAAGGAATTGGAGCTACCCTTCCATTCCTTGGACCATTCCAGATTGTTGTATAAGTTGTATCATGTACCTGTAGAAAAGAAGATTATTATTATTGTTGCTCTATGACATGGGTTTTGGGCTCCTCGTTTGTAGTGTACAGATCTTCCTGACTTGTGTCCGAGTTCCATCCTGACCAATCGGTCGGATCTGGAAATAGACAGATGTTAGAATTATACACAAATAACTCTCACATAGAAGAGAGGAGCTTACGACGATGTTCCGGTCCAACATGGATCATTTACAAAGTATATTTATAAATGGTCCATGTCGGACCGAAACATCGTCGTAAGCTCCTCTCTTCTATGTGTGGGTTATTTGTGTATTGTTCCAGTCACTGTATTGTGCCTTTTTTTGTTAGAATTATGTTAGCATGGCATGTAGAAGTGGTATACCTATCTGTACAGCATTCTTTTAACCTAATAAATTTCTGTTGTGATTATCTCTCTTTTTTTTATCAACCTGCATTGTTACCTTAAGTTTCATTACTCGCAAATTGATGTTCCTTATTTGTAGGTATCATTCACAGACGTCACAAATAAAACACTGTATGGAATGTAGCATAGGCTAGGTCAGATCTGGGTCACTATTGTACGCATGCAGCTGCTAGCACTGGCGGATGTATGACCAAAGGTAACTTCTGTATTTACAGTACAATTTTTATTTCTTTGCAAAGGTTAGTGTGTGATTTACATACTACAAAATATTAAGTACAAAGAAAGCCACTAACATGCCTGAGTATTTTTGACAAACTAATCCTAATGCTTACGGACTACATAAAAACTACACATGGGTTATAGGGTGGTAAATTTTATTTATTAATTATTTTACGTGTTACTAAAGTGAGGTAGCCAGAAATTTATTATATATATTTTTCATTTTTCTAATTTATAGTGTATTATTTTGATCGTATGTGCGGATGGATGTAAGTCGCATGGGTCAGAGGTCGGGGAGGATCTGTATTTCAGTCGCCCCTCAAGGAAGGTTCTTTGATGTCGGTGAGAGGCTCTTGTTCCAAGGAAATGACTGTTCTCCACTTGGATTGTGCCTTGCCTTTCATTTCCCAGGTGCTGTAAGTTTTTTTAGGCACAGGCTCACATAAGTACAAGTACCACACACTGTAAATTACCTAGGATAACCACACAACTCCTACAGGTTTAGCACTTCCTTCCCACCCTAAGAATGAATGTACACCCAAATCATTTAAATTTTTTACAAAATTTAATATCTTCCAGGTTAAATCATGGTTGGAGAAGCAAGAATTTTCCCGAGAGGAGAGCAAGAAGATCACCTCCGAGTTTCTCCAGAGGTACCGAGAAGCTCCAGCCCCAGACTACTCAACGGATGAAGAGGGACTGGAACAGTGGAGATTGAACATCTGGGCATCAGTTTTACCTGAGAAGTACCACCATTACATAGGTGTGTGAGAGATAAACATAGTGTGTTATCAGGCTTTTATTTTTTTATTAACATCGGCTGTTTCCCACCAAGGCAGGGTGGCCTGAAAAAAGAAAAAACTTTTATCATCATTTACTCCATCATTGTCTTTCCAGAGGCATGCTCATACTACAGTTATAAAACTGCAACATTAACACCCCTCCTTCAGAGTACAGTCACTGTACTTCCCATCTCCAGGACTCAAGTCCGGCCTGTCAATTTCCCTGAATCCCTTCATAAATGTTACCTTGCTCACACTCCAACATCATGTCAAGTCTGGCTTTTAAATACATCTTAAAGTGTAAAAAGGCTACGATTCACTTTACAGCAATTTTTGCTTTGCAGCAGTAGCCTGAAATCTAACCTGCTGTATAAGTGGGGCCCTCCTGTATGATACAAAATATGATTGATTAATGGGAAGTGTTTTGTGGTTCAGTTGGTAGCACACTCAGCTCACACTCTTGAGTTTACTTGGTTTGATCCCCGGCCAGGTGGAAACGTTGGGTATGTTTCTTTACATTTGCTGCCTCTGTTCCCCTAGCAGTAAGTAGGTACCTGGGTGTTTGTCATCTGGTGTGGGTGGCATCCTGGGGTGGTAGTATACCTTAGCTAGGGCTTGGCTTTCAAATGAACTGAGGGAGGATAACAGCTCTTAGCCTGTAAAATTTATGTATAAAAAAAAGGAAATATTTAAGACATCTAGTTGAGTACAAGTGAGAAGCACATTGTACTCAGCAGACAGAGGATCAAGCCTCCATCACATCTTGTATTGAATAATCCACATGGATTTAGCACTTAGCAGTAATTATTATTCATGATCATACATGCACACCTAAATGTCACCCATCTCTGTACAAACATTGTATCATGCTGAAATAAAAATTATTATATAAGTTGTCACATGTCCATTTTTGCTTTAAGTATAAACTTCATTTTGCTCACATTTTAAAACGATTTTATCACTGTTTCATTTTAAATCCCCTTACTAATAATAATAATAATAATAATAATAATACATACTTTATTTCAGCATGATACAATGTTG